AGGGTTTCCGAGGCTGTAAATCTTTATGGGAGCAGAAAGCCTCATCTTTCTCCCGCGGAACAGCTGGTAGTTTCGAACTGCTGACTGTGAGATTAGCAGCCCGATTCGTAACTATTATGCTACCTGTCAAAAGATATTTGTTGAATAACTAACAAGTTGTCACTTAAGTTTGTGATACCAAAGAGATGACTAGATATCATAGATATTGGGGTTTGGGGATTCTCTGATATTATACTAGAAATCTCTTAGGTGAGAGGCTCATTTTGCATTAAAATGCTACCCTTTGATCTATTTATTATCATAAATACTTGTTGCTATTAAGTGCCGTGTAGAGTCAGTTCTGACTCATAATAGCCCTGCATGGGATTTCTGAGGCTTTAAATCTTTGCTGCTGCAGAAAGTTGCTGCTCCTGTGGAGCAGTCAACCTTGTGTTTTGCAGTCCAGTGCTTATCTTCTGGAACCATCAAGCTCCCCCAAATACTTATTAAGCACCTGTTATCAGTACTGGACTACAAACTGCAAGGTTAGTGGTTCAAACCTATGAACTGTTCCTTGGAAACCCTACACAGGGTCGCTGAGTCAGAACCAAATCAATGGCACTTAAGCACAACAACCACTTAGTGTAGGGGGAAGTGATAGTTCAGTGGTAAAATTCTCACCTTCTATGCAGGACTGTGCTGTGACTCTGTAAGATAACCACTGGACTTTGATCTACAAGATTGGTGGTTCGAGCCCACTAGCAGCTTCCCAGGAGAAAGATGAGGCTTTTTGCTCCCATAAAAATTTTAAAAGCCTCAGAAACCTTATACAGGATGACTATAACTCAGAACTGGCTCTACAGCCCTTAACAACACGCAGGAGAGACCTGGTCTATGCTCCTCAAGCACAATCACTACTTGTTTGTCCGTGGAGGCTCATATGTATCCATGATGCTGAACAGGTTTCAGTGGTTCTTCCAAACTCAGGCAGAGTAGGAAGAAAGGCCTGGTAATCTAATTCCAAAAACCAGTCAGTGAAAATTCTGATCACAGTGGTCCAACTCTGCTTGTGCATGGGGTCACCATGAGTCTAGACTGACTAGACAACAGCTAACAACAATAACCTATAACAGATATTGTGTTAAATTCCAGGGGCTCCTGGGAGACCTAAAAAGAGTTGGGTTAACCAAAAAGTTGTTGATTGGAGTCCACCCAGCAGTCCCCGAAAGGAAAACTTAGCGATCTGCTTCTAAAAGGTCACAGTCATGAAAACCTTTTGGAACATTAGTTGCACTGGTACACTCATTTCGGAGTTGCCAGAAGATTGCCAGAAGTCAAGATTGAGCAAGACAGAAGGATGAACACGACAGATATGGCCCCGTTCACATAGAATTTAAGATGAAGTGTACTCACATTTATTTTTATCTCTATGACTGCAGCAACTGCAAATGCCAGGCATGCTAGGATCATACCAACAGCCATTTTCCTAATTGATCTGCAGAAGAAAGGAAAAGACAATTATATCCAAACTTTATAAAGGATAAGATAAAAACTCCTTGTTGTTAAGTACTTTTGAGTCAATTCTGACTCATAGCGACCTTGTAAAGGGTTTCTGAGAGTAGTTGGTGGGTTTGAATCCCTGACCTTGTGGTTAGCAGTACAGTGCTTATCCTACAGTACCACACCAGCACTCCTTAGCCAACTTTTAAAGATCTTTCCTGATTTGGTCCCAATTCCTTTTCAAAGTATTTCCTAGGGCGCCCCTTCACACATCATTTTTCCCTTTACTTGAAATAGTCATCATTGAAATTTACTGCTTCTTCTCACTTCTACCTTTGCCTCTTATGGTCTTTCAATCTATTATATTGGAGTCCTTCTGTGGTGCTGTGGGATAAAGCACTGGACCGCAAGGTGGGTTTGAACCACAAGGTCAGTGGTTCAAACTCACCAGTCACTCCTCAGAAACCCAATACAGGGTCACTATGAGTCAGAACGAACTGAACGGCACTTAACAACAGCAGGTGATGTTTAACAAACTTTGCATGGGTTACCTCATCTTCTATTGTTCAGAAATCTTTTCTGGCTTAGTCAGCCGGAAGGACTTTTCATTGTCTAAACCTCCCTGGCACTTCAATTTTCCCGTCTTATTTATTTACTTTGCGAAATAGTTATACATGTATATGCTCTAGCTCCCTTACCAACCAGTAATCTCCTGGTGGTGGTGGTGGTGTTGTGCCATGAAGCCAGTTCTGACCCATAGCAACCCTGTATAGGGTTTCCAGGGCTATAAATCTTTATGGGAGCAGAAAGCCTCATCTTGCTCTTGCAGAATGGCTGGTAGTTTAGCACTGCTGACCTTGAGGTTTGCAGTCCTACTTGTAAGCACTACACTATCAGAGCTCTTTAGTAAGCTCCTAGAGGTTGAGATTTGTGCTTGATTTACACTGACATGGCACTTGGTGCTGAATTGAATAACATCTGTTCAATGAGTTGAGTAAATGACAAAAGGCCATTTGAATATTATAAAATGGTCATTGAATGGAAATTATTATTATGTTAGTGAGGAGAGGAGACTTGAAAACACTTCTCTGAAAAATTTTACAAAACATAACACTTGTATTGAGAATGAAGACAAAGCAGTAACTGGAAATAATTCTACCCCCATTTCTACAGGACCCCTATTTGTTTCATAGGAACAGTAGGAGATTGAAAGGGATTACTTATCCATAAGGGCTCCTGGTGTGGTGCTGCAGGATAGTACACTGGACTTTGCAGTCAGTTTGAACTGTGAGGTATGCAATTCAAACCCACCAGGCATTACTCAGAAATCCTATATAAGGTCCCTATGAGTCGTTAAGTGAACTCCTCAGTGGCACTTAATGACAATTGTCATCAAGGCTTTTTAAAGAGGTAGCATTAGGGAACAAAGTGAAATGTTGATTTAGGATTCTAATCTCACATACTTTTGGCTTTCCATGATGCTTAGAACTACCCTCTCAACATCACACAGTTAAATCTGCAGGAATGACTTGTTGTTGTCAGGTGCCATCGAGTCGGAACCGACTCATAACGACCCCATGCACAGCAGAACGAAACAATGTTCGATCCTGGGCCAACCTCACCACCGCTGCC